GGTGCTGCAAATTCCATCTAAGAATATTAACATTCTCACTTGTTGGGCTGTGGTCTCTGGTTCTCTAAAAGAAAACAGCAAGTAGCCAGTGGAAAACAAGTCAGCCAGGGACCGCCATCATTAACACGAGTCTGAGAACTAGAACAAGAAAAACGTCTTCAGTTTACAGGTACAAAAGAGGAAAAGCAAACTGGAGAGCATTATGTTGCGTAAACTCAGTCCATAAGGACAAATACCATATAAAACCATTATTGTAGAATGAGTATGAGGATCCAATGGGAAGGGGGTGGAAGCAAAGGGGTAAGGATGTGCAGGGGGGCAGGGAGAATTAATAGTGGGGGTCACACAATTTGATGGGTGGGAGGGTGAGGGAAATGGGAAGGATCTGGTGTAAAAAACAATGTGTTCACATTTTGTAAATAAACTAGTATTTTTAAAAAGTAGGAAAGCATCCAACTTAAAAAAACCCCATACATACAATTATTTCAAGAACAAATATGTGAAGCTACATATTTTGACTCTAATCATTGTCTGATGAATTAACAGCTACGTGGCCTAGGAGAGACATGGAACATAAATCCTAGTTTCTTCTATACATAAAATGGTGATGACATCTATCTGCATGGGGTTGCTATGAAACTTATTTTAAATACTGTATGTTGTTGTTATGTGTTGTTGAGTCATCTGCGTGATTTATAGAAACCCAAGTACAACTGTGAAGCCTGCCCTGTCCTGAGCCAGTCTCACTGACTCCAATCCATCTAATGCCATTGTCCCTGTTATCATGTCAATCCATCTCATTTGGGGTCTTTCTCTCCTGTGCTCTTCCTCTACCCTTCCAAGCTTAATGTCCTTCTCCAAGGACTGGACTCTCCTGGCCATGTGCCCATAGTATGTGAGAAGGCGTTTCAAAATCCTTTCCTCCAAGGAGAAACTACAAAACAGACCTGTTTGTCTTCCTGGCAATCCATGGGATGTTCAGTACTCTTCTCCAGCAGCACAGCTCAAAGACATCAATTCTTCGGTCATCTTTAGTCATTGTCTAGCTTTCTGATGTATAGCACATAATTGTGAAGACCATGTCTGGATCAGGCACACTTTAATCTCTAGACTGACGTCATTGCTCCTCAGCACTCTGGAGAGTTCCCTGACATGAGACTTCCTAAATGTAATTCATCTTTTGATTTCTTAATTGTTGGTGCCAAGCGTGTTGACTGATTGTAGAGCCAAGCAAGTTGAAATTGTTAACAACTTCAGTTTCTTCTCCATCCATCATGATGGTGCCAATTGGACCAGTGGTGAGAATCTTTGTCTTCTTTTTTTAACCCTTTTATTCTTATTGTTTTTTAAATTTTCATGGATTTCAATTCATTTATTGTTGCACATTTTTCTTCCTACCCTTACCCCCAGTTCACTTTTTCTTTACAAAAAATTCTTTCATTCTTGCACAATTTCCTCCCTTTATCTCCAGTCCACTTTGCTATGCATCTCTTATTCTGGACTGTTCTCATGTAAATAATATCTAATCATATATTCCTTTTAAACAGTTCTTTCCTTCATCTGATTCAATGCAGTGAATCCCCTTTTTTCTTAGTTTCCCCCAGTCCCCATATCAGTCCTGTTTTAAAATAGCGGTATTATGCAGTATTTGTCCTTCTGTGACTGAGATATTTTGCTCAGTATAATGTCCTCCAGGATCACCCATTATTGTATAATATTTTATGAGTTCCTTGTTTTTCAGTGCTGCATAGTACTCCATTGTGTGAACATACCACAGCTTCTCTATTCATTCATTTGTTGATGGACACTTGGGTTGTTTCCATCTATTTGCTATTGTGAACAATGCAGCAATAAACACATGTGTGCATACATCTATTTGAGCCAGTTCTGGTTTCTTTAGGGTATATTCCCAGTAGTGAAATTGCTAGGTCAAATGTTATCTCTAATTCCAACTTTTTGAGAAAGTGCCATACTACCTTCCATAGTGGTTACACCATTTTACTCTCTCACCAACAGTGAATAGGGTTCCAATTTCTCCCACAACCTTGCCAGCCTTTGTTGTTTTCTGCTCTGTTGAACTTTATTAGGGTGAGATGATATCTCATAGTTTTGATTTGTGTCTCTCTTAGAGTTAGGGATTATAAACATTTCTTCAAGTGTTTTTTGACATCTGAATGTCTCCTTTGGTGAAGTAATTTTTGTTTTCTTGATGTCGAACTTTAATCCATATTAAAGACTACAGTCCCTGACTTTTTGCAGCAAATACTTCAGGTTCTCCTCAGTTTCAGTAAGCAAGGTTGCATCACTAGCACCCCAGAACACTTGATTGTGTTCATGTGAAACCTATACGTATACCAGGAGACAGTAGTCAGAACACAGCAAGGAAACACTGCATGGTTCAAAATTAGGAAAGGAGTGTGTAAGGGATGCATCCTGTCTCCATACCTTTTCAATCTATATGTAGAATGGCTGGACTTTATAATGAGGAGTGTGACATCAGAATTGGAGGACAATTCATCAACAACCTGTACTATTCAAATACCATACAATATAACCCATTACAATCCCTTCTTTAAGGCAGGTACTCTGTACATAATTGCTAAAGATTCTGCACGCTATGCCACCAGAATTTCAAATACAAAATTTCAAAGTTTTCCACTATTTGCCTATAATTTTGTCATACTGTGGTGTCTTACATGTTGCTAGGATCCTGAACACTATGCCACCAGTATTTCAAATACCAGCAGGGTCACATGCGGTAAACAATGTTCATCAACGTTTCTAGACTGAGAGAGACTAATAAGAAGGACCTGGCAATTGACTTCCTAAAATATCATGTTGTTAATACATTACAGGTATCCACAGAACATTGTCTGATATATTAAGGGAGAGAAACTTTTCAAATTAGAAGGGACTCAAAATACACCTGCAAAAAACCTGGGTCCTTCAAGCAGCATCAATCTTAATGACGAGGGTAAAGAAAAGCTTGTAGAACCTTCATCTGTTGATGTGGGATGACTAAAAATTAGAAGAAAAAGCTGCTAACACCCATTAGCAAAGTTGCCATCGGAATGTAGCAAGTTCCATCAGCAATCAGAACATGGCATGCATTAAGTAGAATCTGCAAACATTCATCAGTAATCAGAATGTGACATATATTAAGTCTGAATCTGAGAAAACTGAAGTTATCAAATTGAAATGGAATGCTGGTATCCTGGGCATTAATTAGATGAAATGGACTGGCATTGACCATTCTGAATCAGACAGTAATACAGACTACTATGCAAGGAATGACAGTCTGAAACAAAGTTACATTGATCGTAACAAAGGCTATTTGAAAATCTATCCTCAAGTACACACTGTTCTTTCTCATTGTTGTCCAGTCAGAACCAACTCGTATCATTCTCCACTGAATTTCTGAGGTTGTAAATTGCAAGGGAGATTGTCCATCTTTTTCCCAAGAAACTTCAAACTGCCACATGGGTCAGTAATGAGCACAAAGCTCCCTGCAAGACTGTCAGTGATCCACTAAGAGCCATAGAACTACGAGAAAGATACGTTAGTATGACTATTATTTGTATTTACATATCAATGGCTAAAGCCAAAGAAGAAAGACAATTTACCAACTTCTGCAGAGTTAAATTGAGAAACTGTGTCAGGGTGTGACGTGAGGCCTCTTGCATATGTGCTGGCTAAAGTAAAAGGTTTGTAGGGTCTGTGCTGTTCTTGCCAGATGCTTGAAGGAGAAGCTGCCTTTATAACTACTCTGAAGCAAACCTTCCTGGATGATTTGGATTGACTGCTGTACTGAAACCAGAGCTTGGACTAATTGAAAAATTGTGCCTTAAGATTTGGGCTAAACCCTGAACTTGTACTGTAAAATAAATAGTCTTAGCCTCCCCCACTCTCCAACTTCCTTCCCTAATAAACCTCATTGTTGTGATTGTGAGTCAGCAACAAACCAACCTCTTGCTGTAGGTGTGGCTCTGGAGGCACCATGTGTCTCGGCTACAAGCTCTTTATCTGCTTTCTGCTCTGGGGCAACTGGGTGCTGTGCTAGTCTTACTCCCACTGAACCCTTCAGAGAGATGTTCACGGCCCTGAACCCCCATGTACCGTTTTCTCTAACTTAGATACAACCATAGTATCACTCATGCTGTGGAAATTGTATGTATTTGAAAATGGTTTTCCATCTTAGCGTAAACTCTGTAGAGCTCGGTTGGCATAGTTTGGAGCTAGTGTCCCAGTGCAGCTGTGTTGCAATCCCAAATCCACCAGCTGTTCTGCAGGAGAAGGATCGGCAATCTCGTTCCATGTGATTTAAGATTATCATTTGGTAATTTCTGAATTCTCTTGAGAAAATTCTTAAATTTTAGGCTATCACATATGGAAAATTAATTACTGCTTCTGAAAACCCTCTGGAGGGTCAGCTATACATCAGTTCTGACTCAACAGCACACAACAAATAAAGCCAAATGTAAAGTCCTGGAAATGTGTCTGGTTTACATATTCTTAACCTGAGAACTGAGTCTATTCATTAATGGTGGCATGGGATTTAAAGCTTAAAAGAGGTACTAGAAGAGTTAGCATAATAACATATTCTGTATGAAATGTAAAAATCTCCTTGCATCCTATAATTAATTTTCCCTAGGTGCTAGGGATAAAACTTAAGAATCTTCTCAAGAGAATTTGAAAATTACCAAATGATAATCTTAAAAATGTTTCAAAAGGCAATTATGTAAAATCTTCAGTTGATTTGTAGCATATTGCCATTGGAAAAATAAAATTTGAACTCCCATAGCTATTTTTATACCATACTTCCTTTGAAAGAATATACTTTAAGAAATACAAATATTTGAACTAAATAAAAAGTAGGATACATTATTTTGTCTATAAGAGTCTAAAACTAAGTAGTTATTTATCTTCAGGGACATGAAACAAAAACTACCATAATTTCAAATAAGCTCAAGAAGAAAAATCTTTGTTGTTACTCCACTTACCTTTAGTGTGATACTATAATGTCCAACAAATGTCGCATTCATCCATGATCTTGAATGAGGCTCACCCAAGAATTCAATGTGGTACTCTTCAACATTTCCATCTAAGTCATAGTTCACATATTTTCCTTTAAAGGGATCCAGGCAAAGTATCCCTGGCCAGCTTTGAAAAGAGATGATATTAAATTCTTTTTAATGCTTCCTAAAAGGTAGACACCAACATATCTGTCAAACTACACATTAAACTTCCTTTTTTCATTTTAAAGACTTTTTCACAAAGCTTAAACATATGACTATTTGCCTGTATTCTTCACAAGTAAACCATTTACTTGGTATGTGTAATAAACTGAATTTGCTTTCTCTTAAAGTCAGAGAAAGCTCTGCAGCGATCACAGTTAAAGATAAGGTAGAAGGGGAAAGAATCATAGGATGAAATAATCACTTCCAGGGTCAAGAAGAGACATTTACAACTGACAAGAAAGATGAAAGAAGAAAAGATTCATCTGATTTGTGCTGGGGTGTAATGAATTCTAACCAACCAGAACCATTCATTAGCAAATGTAGCCCACTAGCAGGGCTTTTGATTGGGAGGAGAGAACTGGTCTTTCCTAAGGCAGGGCTATGAAACAGGAACTTACTGATAGCTCTGGTTGAAACATAGTGTGGAGTTAAACTACTACAGGGAAACCAGAAATAGATTTCTGCCTTTTCTATTTTGTCTTTTCCCCTCTCAATCTGCATAATTGACAGGTGCCCAGATCACTAAAAACCTTTGAACCCTGGAAATAAAATTTATTCTTTTTCAGAAGTAAATCTACAGGGATGTAATTTTTCATGGAATAAACCACTAGCAATTCCTTTACAGGTTTCTTTTTTCCCCTTTGGGTTTTCATTTCTCACATTTGTTCCTTTCTTATTGATTTTCTGCTTTGCTTTTCCTGTTTCCTCTTTCTATCCATGCCATACAACTCCTGTCATGGACATCTCTGATAAGCAAAAACAGAAAGACTATTTCCATATGAAGATTAGCAGGAAGTTAGAGAACATCCTGAAAACTTCTGCTAGGAGAAACCCCATTCCTAGGAACTCAGGCACCTTATCTGCTTTACCAGATTGTTCTACAAGTAACTTTAAAAGTAAAATAAAAATTGGCAGGCACATAACCGTCTTTAAAAGGATGGATGTAAATAAAAGTTGATTTAGCACTAGAAAAGTTGGAATTTTACATTATATATTTGCTCAACATTTTAAAAATAATATCCAAAGTTTCAAATAGCAAAAGTTAGAAAAACAGATGCATTTTTATTATAAGAGAAACAAAAAGGGAATGTGACACTATTTACAAGCTTCTAAAGAAATCTGATGTGGGGTGAAACAGAGATCCTTATCTGACGCAGGTTAACATCTGTGTTGTTCAGGCACTCTCTTGAGGCTTTGATTATACTCTTAAGCATCCTACCACATTGATGAGATGGGCATGGATGTCCTTAAGTTAGCTGAGAAAAGGAAATAAATGCCAAGCACTTCTATAATATCCCTAAGAAGCCCATGCTAGTAAAAGATGAAGGTATAATTCAGAAGGGGTCTTTCTGGTGTCAGAATACACACATTTTCTACCAGACCAGACCAGAGTCAAAGGAGTCCAAGTAGTGTCGCATGATACCTGCTGGTCTGCTAACCAGTAACTGGGTGGTTCAGACCCACCAGCCGACTCACAGGAGAAAGACAAGGCGATCTCCTCTCGTCTATATTCACAGCCAGGGACTCCAGAAGGAGAGAGCATCCAAGGGTCAGGATTGGCTTGATGGAGTGGGTTTGTGTACACCACAGTCGTGGCTCAGAGGCAGGAATGGTACTTAAGGAGAGGAAACCACACGGAGGCTGTGTTTACTTAGAAAACAGGAGAACCTCCCAAGAATTTGCTAGTCTAGATATACACTATCGCTGAAGTAAGATGATCACTATGTACTTATGTAGTTGTTAGGTGCTGCTGAGTTGACCACAACCCATAGCAACCCTATGAACAACAGATCTGACCCCTGTCCTATCCTGTGCCATCCTCACACTTCCTGACACAGTAGAACCCACTGAAGCAGTCACATGCCAATCCACCTGGTGAAGGGTATTCCTCTTCTCTGCCGACCCTCCACCTTTCTGAGTATCATGTCCCTCTCTAAGGAAAAGCCCCTCCTAGCAACATGTCCAAAGTATGTGAGGTGAAGCCTAATTATATTTGCCTCCAAAGAACACTCTGGCTGTGTCCTCTCCAAGACATATTTGTTCTTCTGGCCGTTCATGGGATGTTCAGCACTCTTTTCCAATACAACAGCTCAGAAACATCAATTCTTCTGTCATCCTTATTCATTGTCCAGCTCTCAGATGCATAGAAAATTATTGGAAAGACCGTGGCCTGAATAAGAGGCACCTTAGTCCTCAAAATTACATCATTACTCCTCAATAATTTGGAGAGGTCCCTAATAGCAGACTTACCCAGTGCAATATGTCTCCTGATTTCCTAACTGCTGGTACCAAGGGTTCATGAGAGATCCAAGTAAGCTGAAATTGTTGATAGTTTAAATATTTTCTCCATCTATTAGTCCAATGGTAAGAATCTTTTTTTAACATCAAGATGCAATCCATATTGATGGCTTCATTCTTTGATGTTCTGCAACAAGTCCTTCAAGTCGTCAATTTGAGCAAGCAAGGTTGCATCATTTGCATAACGCAGGTTATTGATGAGTCTTCCTCTGATCTTGATGCCACGTTCCACTTCATAGAGTCCTGCTTCTCGAATAATTTGCTCAGCATACAGATTGTGTAGGTATGGAGAGAGACTACGACTAAAACACTCTCTTCTTAATTTTAAAACATGGAGTGTTCCATTGCTCTGTTCGTACAACAGCCTCCTGGTCTAGGTGTAGGTTTCACATGACTGAAATTAAGTGGTCTGGGACTTCCATTCTTCTCAATGTTAGACATAACTTGTTATGATCCACACAGTCAAATGTTTTTGCATACAGTCAAGAAAGCATAAACAGGCATTCTTCTGGTATTCTTTACTTTTAGCCAGGAACCATCTGGCATTAGCAGTGATATCCCTGTATTTAAGTAGCACAAGGTAACTATCAGGCTGAAGCTCTGTATTAACCAGGTAAGCCATGGTTTTAATTGTCTACCTATGGCACAACCTTACTGTATACATCAACAATGTTTTAAACACTTTATTAGTCCCACTAGATGCTGACTTAGCCTTCAGAGATGAAAGCAGGAAGGGAAGGCAGCAAGTAAGATCAGGAAGTTACTACTAAGGAGTGTTGTTGTTGTTGTTGTTGTTGTTGTTGTTGTTATGTGCCGCCAAGTCGCCTGCGACTCATAGCGACCCTATGTACAACAGCCCTAAACTCCGCTTCTGTCCTGTGCCAATCGCACTGTCTCTGACACTCCCATCCCAATTATCCCAGTCACTGAATTAATCCACCTCATAGAGGGCCTTCCTCTCCTGCGCTGTCCCTCCACCCTCCCAAGCATAATGTCCCTTTCCAAGAACTGTTCTCTCCTCACAACATGTCCAAAGTATGTTAGACGGAGCCTCAGAATCCTTGCCTCCAAGGAGCCACCCAGTTTAACCCTTTCCAAGACAAATCTGTTTGTTTTCCTAGCAGTCCATGGTATCCTCAATACTCTTCTCCAGCACCACAGCTCAAAGGCATCAATTCTCCTTCTATCCTCCTTGGTCATTGTCCAACTCTCTGACGCATAACAGGTGATTGCGAAGACCATGGCCTGTATCAGACGCACCTTAGTCTCCAAAGAGACACCACTGCTCTTCAGCACTTTGGAGAGGTCCCTAACAGCAGACTTTCCCATGGCAATGCGCCTTTTAATTTCCTGGCTGCTGGTGCCAAGACTGTTGACTATGGAGCCAAGCAAACTAAAGCTGTGTACAATCTCAATCTCTTCACCATCCATCCTGATGCTGCTGATTGGTCCAATGGTGAGAATCTCTGTCTTCTTGACATTGAGCCTCAATCCATATCGTAGGCTGCAGTCCTTGACACTCTGCAGCAGGCGCTTCAGGTCCTCTTCAGTTTCAGCAAGCAGGGTGTGTCATCCGCATAACGCAGATTGTTGATAAATCGTCCACCAATCTTGACCCCACATTTCTCCTCATAGAGCCCAGCCTCCCGGATAATCTGTTCTGTAGACAGCTGAAATCTGGCAGAACTCTACAGAGAAAGGTCCAAACTCTGTGGTGTAGTCGTTGGGGGTTTCACTGCTAACATAAGCGGGGCTGATTCAAATCCACTTACAGCTCTGAGGGAGACAGATGGGCAGTAGCCTCCTGAGTGATTTAAAGCCTCGGAAAAGCCACTGCTGGGTCAGCAATGCATTGGCTCTGACTTGATGGCAAAGAGTTTGCAGTAAATAACGCAAATATTCAAAGGTCTGTGCAGTGGGCTGCTAAAGTCTCTCTCAGCTTGCAGCACTGCCGAGCGTCAGAGACTCGGATCTAGTTCTCTCAGCAGCCAGAGGCCTTAGCAAGTAAACAGGTCTCGCCTCAATTGCCATCACTGTGTGGGAACCAACTCGCCATGCTCATGCTTTACACAGCTTCACTTTTTCCAAAAGAAAAAAAAAGAAGTAACGTTCAGATGTAGGTAATAGAATGAGTACATATGAGAACTAAAGAAAATTATATGAAAAAATACTTTGCCTCATTTAGATAATTTTTTAGAAACTAGATAAATGAGGCACTTAAATAATTTTACAACCTAAAAAAAACTATACAAACCATGTGGTAAAGAATCCCATATCACAAAACCTCAAAATCCAGAACGTGATTAGGTTTGACTGTGTTGATCTATCTTGTCAGTTAGTTGTTAATATTCTGATAAATTATTAATTGCTATTCAATCATAAAATTGTAAATATATAAATATCTTTACTCCATATCCAACTATAAGAAGTTAACTGGCCACAAATGAGTAATACAATGTAAATTAATGAAAATATCTCATGTTCAGTATTTTTGATTTGAAAATCTGACTCCATGGATCTGGCAAATGTCAAGTCTATTACCAGGAAGTACGGACACCGCCCAATCACTGGGGAGGGAAGGTAAATGTGAGAACAGAGCAGGTGTTCAGGCTCACCTTCTCACTGAGCTGTCCCAGGCTTATGGGCCTCTCTGAGCTGGCGGAGAGTGAGGAGGCTGAGAACTGTTAACTGATCTGTTGCTGTTGCTGTTAGGTACATATGTTGAGTCAAGTACACCTCAGAGCAACCCTATGAGCAACAGATATTGTCCCTATGCTGTTACTATATTGTCCCTGCCCTGTCCTATGCTGTCCCTATGCTGTCCCTATGCTGTCTCTATGTTGTCCCTATGCTGTCCCTGTCCTGTCCCTATGTTATTCCTATGCTGTCCCTGTCCTGTCCTATGCCATCCTCTTCATCTCTGACAGATCTGAACCCACACTGCGTCAATCCACCAGGTTGAGGTTCTTCCTCTCCTCTGCCATCCCTCCAGCTTTCCAAGCATAAAGTTCCTCTCTGAGCAATAGCTTCTCCTAAAAACATGCCCAAAGTACATGACATGAAGCTTTGTCACCCTTGCCTCCATAGAGCACTACTATGGATGCACTTTCTCCAAGAGATACCTGCTCTTTATTTATTTTTTTTAATTTTCTACCAGTTTATTTACAAAATTTGAATGGCATTACTTTAAAATTCTTTCAATTTCCCTCACCCCCCAACCCATCAAATTGTACAACCCCATGATTAAAAAGCCTCAAACAAGAAATTCAAAGCAACACAACAGAATACAACTGCCTATAATTTACGAAAACCTAGATGAAATTAAAAAATACTTAACACTATTAAAATGGGGGAAATCAATTTATAATGATTGGGAAGTCCTGAGATAAATTCTAGTAAGACTACAGAAATAAAACAACAGTTAGAGTATTTTAGATATATAGGCAATCATTGCAGGATACACGTTCTTTTCAAATGCACATGAAACATTCACAAGAAAAGTCATATTTGACTATGAAATAAGGTTCCATGTAAATATGACAACAGATTTATAAACTGGTAATAATAAAATATGTTAAAATATCTAAATATTTGGTCAATTAAATCCATTTCAAAGAAGAAATAGAGAGGAAATTATCGTTTCAAACTAAGTTATAAAAAAAATCAGCATACCAAAATTTGCGGGTTATAGGTAAAACTGCATTTAACGATAAATATATAGCTTTATAATTACCAGTATTAGAACATTTTTTAAATTCAGATACCCATACTTTTTTTATTTTTTTTTAGATACCCATACTTTTAATTTAAAAAATTAGAAAAAGAATAAAATCTAAAGAAGGGAAAGAATAATTATAATATCAGAAATAGACATGCAAAAGAGAAACAAATAAAAAATTAAACAAATTCATAAACCTCACAAAACTATACTTAAAATGTTAACTATTACAATAGTAAAAAATCCTACCTTGGCCACCTAACTAATTTTACCAAAACCAGGCTTCCCAGGGGCAGCTGTGAATAGACGATCTTCAGTCCACTCTGATGAAGCTGAGATTCTTCAGGAAAGTCTTCTTCAGGAGCGGAGCACCTGTTACACCGGGGATCACTGTTCATGAAGCAGAACCAAGGTGCACTGTGGTCAACTCTGGAGACATCCTCATTTGACAACAGCCTCCATTTCAAACAAGTCTCATTCTCACACTGAACCCACACTTTGTTTATACACACACCGCTTTTCACTGAAGACTCCATTAGACTGTTAGAATATTCCGAAATTACCTTATCACTCAAGTTTTCTCTCTATAAAATCTGAAAAATAAAGAAGGGCACGGAGGAGAGTATGAGCATCCAAGTGTCTAAGGCAGACAATGTAAACTCAAATGAGAGAAATAACTCTACCCTACCATCTTTGACCACTTCCTCCCTCCACTACAAAGATCATCCACACTGAAAACGCTGTTTCCGTCTTCCGAGAAACAAAGGAAAAAAATAAGAGCATCTGTCATTTTGGAAGTAAATGCTTCAAAATGAAATAAAACGATGATAAAGCAGAATAACAAAGTTTAACTTGAATTCCTATTCACTTCCATTAACACACATCCGGTGGATGTTCAATAGATTTCTGACATAACAGCTAAGCCTTTGTTCATTCTGACCATAAGCCAAGTATTCCAAATGCTTTATATGGACATCTCATATGGTCTTCCCAGCAACCTAGCATGCCCATTTCACAGAGAAAACCAAAGCTAAGTGAGGCAAACTAATTTAAGGTCCTGAAGCCAACCAGTGGTAGTTAGGATCTGAATGCAGACAATTTGATTCCAAACCCTATGACCTTCTCTACTAGGAACTACTAGGTCTCTTTCTTCCCTTTTCACAAGGAAAATCAAGTGTAGCAAAATATTTCCCGTAATGAAAATGACAATGTATTAAAAAAAATAAAAAAGACTCTGACTTATTAACTTTGCTCTCTATCATTAGTTCAAATGTCTTGAACAAACACACTTATTCTGAGGGGTATTTTATACTATCAAAATTCAAATAAAAAGAAATTCTAATTATGTAATTATGCCCCTAATATACAGTTTCAAAAAGAAATTATTCATATATGAGCAAAATAATTAAGTATAATGTAAAGAAAACTAATTACTAGCAACTTATTTTGCAATACAAAAACCTATTTTTCTTTTTTTGAGAAGGTTTTTATATGAAAGAGTTGTTGTTGATTGCCTTTGAGTCAAGCATGACTCATAGTAACCCTATGAACAAAAGGCCTGAAGCCCTTCTAGAACTAGCTACACTGAATGTAGCAGAACAAAATGTTGAGGAACAAAAATTAACAACCTATGAGTATATATAGGCATTTCTGTAGGTTCTACCAAGTGATACGTCTTTGAGGCATAGAGTCTAAACCACAGAAAGCAGTTTTTCCATGGTGATCCTAGTCTATGTTTACCCTCAAGAGAGGGTGACTGAAGGTCCCAAGCAAAGGGAAATAAGGATTTACTCTTTCAGAGGGAGATGCTAAAGCATGTAGTGCAGAAATTTGAGCCTATAAAGGTTAGGGCATCACTTTGGCTCACAGTCAATGAAGACTGGGACCAAAGGAATTTAGGTGTAAAACCATCTTAGCCACAGATCTTAAATGCTGTACAAATCCCCATCCTCTGTTTTGGGTTGGGATTGCTAACAGTTTTAGTTTGCTTGGTTCCACAATCAGCACTCTTGGTACCAGCAGCCAGGAAATCAAGAAACAAACTGCATTCAAAGTCAGCTGTCAGGGACCTCTCCAGAACAGTGTCAAGCTGGAGACTAAGGTGCGCCTGATCTGGGCCATAGTCTTCCCAATTGGATGCTATGTGTCAGAGAGCTGGACAGTGAGTAGGGATTATAGAAAGAGAATTGATGCCTTCGAGCTGTGGTGTATTGAATGTACCATGGACTGCTAAGAAAACAAGTTTGTCCTAGAGAGAGTTAAACTGGGCTGCTCCTTGGAAGCAAGGATTCTGAAGCTTTGTCTGATGTACTTTAGACATGTTGCAAGGAGGGACCAGTCCTTGGAGAGGATGCTTGGGAGGGTTGAGGGACAGAGCAGGAGAGGAAGAGCCTGGATGAGATGTATCGATTCAGGGATTAGGTTAATGGTGGTGGGTGTGTCTGAGACAGCGAGGTTGGCACAGGATGGAGCAGGGCTTAGGGCTCTGGCACATTGGGTCCCTGCGAGTCGCATACAACAACAGCAAAGGGAAAACAGGAGTCCAGCGAAGGCTGGAGCGGTGACATGAGACCATGTGGGCGGAAGCTGGGACATGCTCCCGTCAAAGGGCTCTGAGCTGCTCCAGGAACCGGCTTGGATGGTCTCGGGATTTGCGGGGTCTCAGCTCCAAGGCGCCTCCTATTCTAGCCCGCCCCGCAGCTAGGACACAAGTCACTGGGGTTTCCTCCTGGACCTCGAATCTCGTCTTCTTTCGTTTCCCTAACAACGCGGGGACACGGAGCGGCAACTGGCCAGGATCTGTGACTGCTCCGTGGCGATTCCCACGGGAGCCCATCGCGTCCAGGAATTGAGGGGCGCACTGCAGAGCTTCCGAGAGGGGGACAGGTCTCCCCAGCGCGCCCTTCTGCAGGGGCGCGGACTCCGACCCCGCACGAGCCCTGTGTCCCTCCCTGGACACTCGAGACCGCGGGGAGCAGAAGCGCGCTGACCACGTGGGGCCGGAGCTGCCCTCGAGTGCGGGTCACCCCTCGAGCCAGGGCTCCAGGAGCCTCGGGGACACTCGGGCTTCATTCACATTCAACCAGCCCGCAGGTACGAGCCACTTCCGGGTCCCCACATCCGGTCCCGCGGGAGGCGGCGGCTTCCGCCCCCCACAGCCAATCAGCGAATCAATCCACTTGTCAATCAAACCATCCCCGGGACAGCGTTCCCAGGCTTTGGGGACCCCAGTTCCGGTCTGCACCGGTTCATTTTGCAGACCCTGTCCTAGGTGGGCGGGAGCCGGCCTGCAGACTGCGCTGGGTCCCCACGAGGCTTCACCCCGAAACCCAGGACGGCCATTGAGGGCGGGCGAGCCCACGGAGGGGAGTGGGGTCTACGCTGGGTCCTGTCCTGGGGGCGACTGTGAAACATAAATAAAACCACTATTTACTATGTTTATGCAACAACAATAATCCTTCACCTGAACCCTGACGCTACGCTAAGGTCACCCCCAAGACCACCTCGGTCCCGGCCCTCCGCCTCCTCAGGTCCTTCGCTGCCTCAGTTCCCTCAGGACCTAGAAGCAGACGCTGCCAGCTCAGACTTCGGCTCTTTCCGTCACTCTTCGTCCCTCTCCGCCAATCCCTGGCTCTTTCCGTCAATCTTCGTCCCTCTCCGCCAATCCTGGGCTCTTTCCGTCATTCTTCGTCCCTCCCAGCCCGGGCCCCGGCTCCTTCCTTCACTCTTCGTTTCTCTCCGCCAATCCCTGGCTTTTTCCGTCAATCTTCGTCCCTCTCCACCAATCCCTGGCTCTTTCAGTCAATCTTCGTCCCTCTCCACCAATCCCTGGCTCTTTCAGTCAATCTTCGTCCCTCTCCACCCATCCCTGGCTCTTTCCGACACTCTTCGGGCCTCCCCGCCTGGGCCTCGGCTCTTTCCGTCACTCTTCGTGCCTCTGCACCCGAACCTCGGCTCTTTCCGTCCATTTTCGGGGTATCTCCGCCAGCACCTCGGCTTTTCCCGTCGCGCCTCCTGGCAGGACCCCAGTTATTTCCATCAGTCTTAAATCTTTCAGCTGATTTTTGATAGTTTGTGTTGCACATACGCTCTGCCTCTGGATTAGCAGTGAAACGCCCCACGGACTACACCACCAAAGCTCCTTAGATTGTACAACAGAAAAAGGATATATTTCTAAATGCTACACATTGAAAAAACGAAGGAAAAGAGTTATTTCTATAGAGGAAATACTGCTCTCCAGAGTACTGAAGAGCAACGATGTCAACCTGGAGACTAAGGTGCGCCTGATCCAGGCTATAGTCTTCGCAGTTGCGTGCTATGTGACAGAGAGCTGGACAGTGACTAGGGATGATAGAAATAGAATTGATGCCTTTGAGCTGTGGTGCTGGAGAAGAGTGTTGAATATACCATGGACTGCTAGGAGAACAAACAGGTTTGTCCTGGAGAGGGTGAAGCCGGAATGCTCCTTGGAGTCAAGGATTCTGAGGCTTTGTCTGACATACTTTGGACATGTTGCAAGGAGGGACCAGTCCTTGGAAAGGGACATCATGTTTGGGAGAGGGGAGGGAGAGCGCAAGAGAGGAAGATCCTCGATGAGATGTATCGATTGGGGTAATGGGAGTAGGTGTGTCAGAGACAAGAAAATTGGCACAGGATAGAGCAGGGTTTAAGGCTCTTGTACAGAGGGTCTCTATGAGTCGCAAGGGACTTGGCAGCACATAGCAACAATAATACTCTTTAGACATGACTCACCATGTGATAAGATGTGCTTTCTTGATTTGAAGATTTTGCATCGTGATTTCAAAGATCAATTCAGTGCATTTGCAGAACATAACTCCAGGTGTATGTTTACATACTGTGTCTTCTTGAGCTGTCCTTTGAAATCACCTGCAATAATAAGCAGATGACAACCTCATTTGCCAAAATGAAAGGACTTCAAGTACTTCCTGAAGAAGATCCAAGGCCATAGCCTTCAATATGGATTACAGCTCAACACCATGAACACAAACATCGTGATCGCTGGCTGATGCTAAATGGAAAAAAGATTAAAATAATTGTTATATGCCATCAAGTCACTTAATGCTCATAGCAACCCTATGTACAACAATTTTGAAGCCTGCCCCGTCCTGATCCAACAGCACCCCATCCCGACACACCCACCCCATTACCCCAGTCACTGAATCAAGACATTTCAAATAGGATCTTCCTCTCCTGCACTCTTTCCACCCTACCAAGCATGACTTCCCTCTCCAAGGACTAGTCCCTCCTTGCAACATGCTCAAAGTATGTCACACAGAGATTCAGAATTCTTGCCTCCAAAGATCATCCTGTTTCTACCCTCTCTAGGATGAACCTGTTTGTTCTCCTCACAGTCCATGGTACATTGAACATTCTTCTCCAGCCCCAAAACTCAAAGACATCAGTTCTCCTTCTATCTTCCCTAGTCATTGTCCAGCTTGCTTATGCACAGCAAGCAATTGTGAAGACCATGGCCTGGTTCTAGAGTTCAAGGATTTCCTTTTATTTGAATTTACAA